GCAACTCAACATTCATAAATTTATTCAAACACTTGGGGAAAATGTTTTAAGAAATAATGTCATGTTTGCACAAAGTCTGTTTTCCCAACCATTTTCAAAATCTTATTCTCAATTTTGCCAACTGATGCCATTGATACCTGTTGGTACATTAATTCCCAGAATATTACACCACTATGATCTCTAATTATGAAATCCCAAGAATTTCACCTTCTGGAGAGTAAATAAATTAAAATTTTATAGCTGAAAATAAAATATTTTTCCACGGAAGACAGGAAAACAGCCTATGGAACAGTTATTTTTAACTTTGTTTTGTAAAGCACTCAACACATGATTATGAATGTGAGAAACAACTATTTGAGAAAGAAATCGTCTTAACAGATAACTGAAAATCCTTGTCCTGGATCTAGGCATAGTACTTTGTGAAGATGAAGGCTTCCCTCCATTAATGAAGGGAATCATGATTGATTCCAGAGGAAAACTGGAATGAAGGGTTTTATTCTCGTTTTCATTTTCCAATGCCACATATACATGTCATATTATAGAGATCCTTAATTTTATCGAATAGTTCATCTGGAGAAGAATGAATCAACCAGGAGGACAAGTTGAACTTTGAAGAAGCAGGATAAGGAAGAGTATGAATGTTTTTGAACTTTGATGTTGAAGAGAATACCTTGGACAATTAAGAAACCAAACTGAAAATTGATCAAATCAACCCAAAGTTCTCACTGGATGCACTTTTGCTTATCCTATTACACAAATACCAAGCTCTCTGGAGAATGTTCTAATGGTATGAAAGGTGGAAAGAGAAGAAGAAGATGCCCAGCAGCAAGGTGTATTGACTCAGTTGCAGTGGCAATAAGTGCACCACTGGAAGACCAAAGACCATGTTAGGGACAGATCATCAGAAAGTCCGTCCTTCCATGCAGGAGTTGACTACAACGTGATGATAAAAATTGGCAAAAATATGCCTTCTCACAATTTCCTCTAGTCTAGTACTTTGCTGATAAAACTATGGAGATTTGTAAAAGACCAAACTGTGTATCAATTGTTTTTAATCAATAGCACACTATAAAAGGAAAAGTAGTATGTATACCATAGTTAGTGTGCAAAAGTAATATAGGTAGAATGTAACTCTTCCTCCCCCAAGGATCTTATAAGAGGGCAAAGCACATCAATTTTAGGATATTTCAAGAGTTATAAACTGAATATTGAGTTTTCTGTAGTCTAAGACAGGAATACACTCTAAAAGTTTTGGATTTGGGAGGCAAAATAAAACACTTGAACTGCTTAATTTTAATTATTTGTTTTTGCATATTGGTGTTTGTATGTACGAGAAAGATTATTTGGGTTTAAATGTAAATTGATCCAATAATAGCAATTAGTATTTCAGTCCTAATTTGCTTTCATTTTAAGTTGTAATAGTAAAAACATATTGCATTGTTCTTAAAGCTGAATATAACTGATAACAAAAATGCATACTCAGAAAAAGTTTGTTTATTCTGGTTGAATAAAGACAGGATAAAAATAAGTAATAAATAAATTGGTATGATTTAGGATATGAAAGATTTAAACCACTAATAACCCAATATTCTGTCTCCCACACCACAGCTAGCCACATTTTAGTCTTGCATGTAACAACAATAACAACAACAATAATAATAAAGTTGAAGGCACCTTGGAGATCTTCTAGTCCATCTCCCTGCTCAAGCAGGAAACACTATATCATTTCAGACAAATGGTTGTGCAGTCTCTTCTTAAAAACTTCCAGTGTTGGAGGCAAATGTAATATGAATCCAGCCAGTTTGATTAACTTACAGATGATTTGTATGTAGAAAAGTGGGATACTTCACTAAATCCATTATTTATTTATTTATTTATTTATTTATTTATTTATTTATTTATGAGACTTATATACCGCTTTAAGTGCAAGCACTCTCTAAGCGGTGTACACCAGTAAGCAATGTGTGTATGGTTGTTCGGGTTTTCTCCCGCGTAAAATTGGAAGTGTCTTGGCGACGTTTTGACGAAGTCCCATTCGTCATCTTCAGGCTGGTGCTTTCAGCGTCGTGCTTCGAGGAGCAATGTGTGGTCTTAGCTGTTTCTTCCTTTTAACTGCCAGTGGGGGTATGAACTGATTGGGTGGGAGCTTGGCTGTGTTCTGATTGGGTGGAGGTGTGTTCTGATTGGTTAGGGGCGTGGCTGTGCTCTGATTGGCTGGGGGGTTGGCTGTGCTCTGATTGGCTGGGGGGTTGGTTGTGCTCTGATTGGCTGGGGGAGTGTTCTGTTTGGTTGTGCTCAGGTTAGTCTGAGTTGCAGAGGGGTTTAAGATTTTGGGCTGCCTTGCTATTTTTTGGCTTCGCGTTCGTGGTCGTGCCTCCTCTTCATGGAGGGTGTCAGTTTGCTTCATGTATGGATTGGAGGGGTTTAAAGTGGCTAATGATGCAGCTGTGGTCTGTCTTCTGGTTTGTGGTCATGCTTCATCATCGGTGTGGCTTTGGGTTTGCTTTTTGCGTGGATGTGTGGTGGTGACATCCTGTGTGGTTTTTGTGAGTGTGGGTCTGGTATCATTTTTTGTATTAGGGAGTCGTTTGTCAATAAGGGCTGGTTTCCAAATGGCTGGTAGGCGGGAGGTATCATCTCGCTTGTTCATGCTGTGTGGGCGTTTTTCTATCTCTATGGCTTCTCTGATTATTCTGTTATTAAAATGTTCACTTTTGGCAATGGTTCTGGTATTTTTAAAGTCAATTTCATGTCCTGTGGCTTTAAGGTGTTGGACCAGGGAAGATGTTGGTTCCTCTTTTTTGACTGAGTTCTTATGTTCTTCAATGCGTGCACTTATTCTTCTGTTGGTTTGTCCGATGTATGTGTTGGGACAAACAGTGCATGGGATTTCATATACTCCTTCATTTTCTAAGTCAATTTTATCTTTGGGGTTTCTAAGGATGGTGGATATTTTTCTGTTTGTGATGTCACCACCACACATCCACGCAAAAAGCAAACCCAAAGCCACACCGATGATGAGGTACGACCACAAACCAGAAGACAGACCACAGCTGTATCATTAGCCACTTTAAACCCCTCCAATCCATATATGAAGCAAACTGACACCCTCCATGAAGATGAGGCACGACCACGAACGTGAAGCCAAAAAATAGCAAGGCAGCCCAAAATCTTAAACCCCCCTGCAACTCAGACTAACCTGAGCACAACCAAACGAACACTCCCCCAGCCAATCAGAGCACAGCCAACCCCCCAGCCAATCAGAGCACAGCCAAGCCCCCAGCCAATCAGAGCACAGCCAAGCCCCCAGCCAATCAGAACACACCTCCACCCAATCAGAACACAGCCAAGCTCCCACCCAATCAGTTCATACCCCCACTGGCAGTTAAAAGGAAGAAACAGCTAAGACCATACATTGCTCCTCGAAGCACGAAGCTGAAAGCACCAGCCTGAAGATGACGAATGGGACTTCGTCGAAACGTCGCCAAGACACTTCCAATTTTACGCGGGAGAAAATCCGAACAACCAAAGACCTACATACAAACGGCTCTTTAACCATAAGAAAGCAAATGATGTGGATTTAGCCAGGGCCAGCTAAGTAAATCCAGAAATTCTAGGAACAAGGTATAAAGTTGTTACTTTTCTAATGATGGCACATATCTCTACCATTCTAAATCTTTATGAAACTTTGGCCTTTAATTTCCATGTAATCCAACATTATGATAAAGTAGGGTCATGTAACATTAAATGTCCATTAAATGTAAACACTTTTACAACTTAATATAAACTAAATACTGAAAGCAGAGACTTAATTCTTTTTGGAGAAATCTACATGTGCATGGTCATTACTCAAGGCTTGATAATATCAGTTGGTTGCCATATCTGAAATAGCACAAACAGAACTTTCATAAAATATATTTCAAAGACATTGGTGAAAATTATATGGATAAAAAAACTGTAAATGAACAATAAAATGTGAGAAGGACTCTGCAGTATATATGACAAGTGTAATGAAGCTCTTACAAATAAGAAAGCTTAGTTTTCAAATGGATTGTTCTAGGGCAGGTTGCCTAATCTGAGGTAGAAGATCATACACAACCCCTGAAAGTTTCGGGCATGGTGTGAGAGACCTCCCAAGTTCTTAGACTTAAATGAAATTTGTTGGCCTATCCACTAATAGGACTACTTGCATACCATTCAAAAGCTAAATGCAATCCTTGGTTTGGAAAGTTTAGACCAGGCTGTTCAACTAGTTAAAGGGGAAAGAGCCATGTTGAAAAATTAAAAACCATGGTGGACTTAAAGGAATATCTTGGTATCAGCTGTTTGATGGGTGACAAGGGGAGGATCAGAAACACAGCAGTGGCAGCAGTGAATTTATTGACTTTACAAAATGAGGGAGGGCAGCTCAAGGCTGCAGGTTGTGCAGGCCTGACTTAGACTCTACTCAGAGAATGTCCATCTTCCGTTTTGCTATGCTGTGCTATGCTACTCCCAGTGTCTGCTTCTTGTAGTGAGACAGGCAAAAGAACCTTTTGCCAGAACCTTTCATCATTAAGAGTTCCTCAGATGGCAGGCATGACTTTACTCACACCATCTTTAGTTTTTATTTTTCCCTCAGCTGAATTACCTTTTAGTGACTGCAGAAATCATTTTATGTAGACATTTTATAACTGAGAGAGTCTATTGTTTTATAGAGTTCATATGCTTCTTCTGAGAAGAGCTATAAATAAAACCGATTAATCTTCCCAATTAGTATTTCACTTTAAACTGAAAGTCAGACCAGACAAAAGGCAACAGAAAAAGCTGTTTATCAAAACCTAATTTCAGCCTAATGTTTGGGACCGGGCCACCAGAAGTGGTTTCACACCCATAACACGGAAAGGCTGTGTTCCCACATCATGCTTAACCGGGGAATAAACCACAATTGGCTGGCTACTTTCAACTTGCTAAAACCACCAATCGAAACGCCCGGTTTCGCATAGCACGCCAAAGCAACGCCAAGCGCCGGGCAACTGCCCTCTCCCAACTTCCCCTCGAGATGCCAAAGCCCTGAGTCTGTCCCGGCGCTTTCCGTGCCCAGCACCCGGCCTTCCCTTTGCCCCTCTCGGACGTTACCTTGACAAGCAGCCTCGCGGGAAAAAGGCTCCAGCGTGGACCACCCCTGCGTGACGCCCAGAAGAGGCGGGCCGGCAGAGCGGATGGGCGCGCGAGGGCAGCGTCTCCCTTCACTTGTTGGCTGAGGGGTCGAGCGAGCCTCAAAAGAGGCTCCGAGATGCTTTCCCCGTAGAGGTTGCGTGGAGCGAGCGAGGGGCTGCTGGCGAAGGTAGGACGGTATTCGCGGGGGCATCTTGTTGTTTGGTAGTCTAGGCAGCACCAACAGCGCCGCTTTTTTTTTTTTAATTCTCCCCGTCGCCGTCCGCTTTGTAACGCTGCCCTTAGCTGGGCAGAACCGGCCGGAGCAGGACCGACGAGACGAGGTGTCCGCGAGTGGCGTTAGGCTGGCAGCCGCTTCCTTTGTTTTCCCAATTTTCCCACCCTCCGGCCCAACAACTTTCAATAACTTTTCAGTTACGAAAGTCAGCTTTTCTCCGAAATGCGGCCTTCCCGATGCCTTGGGTTACAAAAGCCCATAATTCCCAGTGAGCCGCATCCGACAGCTCTTTTGGTTTGGTGTGATAAAAGTTGGAGTCCAACGTTCTTACAGAATACCAGGCTGAAGAAGAGTAACATAAAGTAATCAATAAGTTTTAAATGAAGTTGAAAAGCAGTAAGGACAGTGCTTTAGACTACAGTTATCAGTCTGTCTAGTTGTAAAGAAATATTGTATGAGCAGATGAAAGGCTTGTCTAAGCTATCATCCTCTCCTGGAGAAACTATTTACGTATATCTGTTTTCTTTTCATCAATTTATACATATTTCTTTTTTTTCTTTTCCAATTTATAGATGTGGAAAATCAATTTGCTGGAGAGAAAACCAATCAAGGTTTGCATTTGAGATAATTTCAGTAATAATTTGACAGTTTAGAGGCCATTTGACTCCTGACAAGTCTGGATGGCTTAAAAGAAATACAGAATGAGAAACATGCAAAAGTTAATGTAAGGAACCTGTTATAATTGCTAGCCAGCTTTTTTGCTAAAAAAAAAAACCAAACCATGAAGGGGATACTATGTTTGTGCTTACAGGTAGTGCTCAATTTGCAACCATTGACTGAAGTTACAATGGCACTGAAAAAAAAGCAATTTATGATGGGTTTTCACAGTTACGACTGTTGCAGCATTTCCATGGTCACATGATCAAAATTCAGGCACTTGGCAAATGGCATGTATTTATGACAGTTGCACTGTTCTGGGGTCGTGATCACCATTTGTAATCTTCCCAGATGGCTTCTGACAAGCCAAGTCAATGGAAAAAGCCAGATTCGCTTAACAACTGTATGATTCACCTAACAACTGGAGTAATTCATTTAACAATTGTGAAAAAAGGTCATAAAATAGGGTGCAACTCAACTGTCTTCCTTAGCAACAGAAATTTTGGGCTAAATTGAGGATTACCTGTATTTTATCTAATGGTATTAGAGAAATGCCATCCATTTAACTCTGTTTTGGTTTGTTTCCATGTTCACAATTTATTAAGAATGATTATGTGAAAGAGCACCTGTGGAAATAAGGGGAGGTGAAGAGACAGTGAACTAGTTAGTGAAAAACAATTAAATTGAAATGTAGTACTGTTAGCTTACAGTCAAAGAAATTCTCAAAAAATGTAAATTAATCCTTGGCCCAAGTTAGAGAAACATGTATTGTTTCATGTAGTTGTGTTCTTATCACATTTAGCTGAAAGCATAACTCATTAAATACAATGGACTTTCAGAATATATATCTGTAAGATTGTGCTTTCAAGATTGTGCTGTTTTGCACTATGAATGATAGTCTACTTCCTGCCTATTAAATGTCAGGTTTCTAGGCATTTGATTTCCAATCGTGTATCAGCAAATTGAATGTTTCTTGTAATCAATCCAAACTATATTCAAGATGGTCTTCCTTGCAGTTTTCCAAAATCATTTTGTCAGTTAGGAGTTGATCATTTGTTTCTCTGCTGTGTTGGTACAAATGACTTGTTTTCAGCTAGATGTTGAACTGTATCAGCTACACACTAATTAGCAATTTGAAAGTTGTAGGTAAACAGATAATTGGTATCTAATTGCCTTTGCTACCCCTTTTGCTGGAACTTTCATTATCGTGTAGGTTTTACCAGATGTTAACCAATCTTCCAATTTCACCTCTTGGTAGTATGTTGTTAAACTGCTTGGCAACAATGGATTAGACAGTCAGATGTTTCAGCCAAAAAAACATGTAGTTTATCTTCACCTGGTGCTGATCAATTCTTCATATTTGCCTTTTTCTCCATTTCATTTGGTTATTACACATTATTTCATTTCACTTTTTTAATTTTTATCCACTATTTTTATCCAAACTGCGTTCTTGTTGTATCTCTTTGGATTGTCCCATAGTTGCATCCAGAACTGCATTTGTTGTCAGTTGTTGACTGGTTCACTGGAGCTTCTCTATTGTTGTTTAGTAGAAATGTTTCTGATTCCATTGAATTTGGATATTCTGCATATAATGATTACAATTATCTTCTTAGCTAATAAAGCAGTTAAAATTCAAAAACCTGCAAATAGAATTAGAATGACTGGCAAGAGAAAGTAAAATAGTACCAATAATAAGTGTCTTCGGTGCAGTCCCAAAACTTCTGGAACACCACTTTTACACACTGGCATTAACAAAATCACCATCAGCCAACTGCAAAAGGCAGCTTTACTTGGAATAGCTTACATCCTACGGCAATACCTTTAGCACCAATAGACAACAATATCTGCCTCTTCCAGGTCCTCCGGAAGGACTCCATAGGTGAATAAAAGTGCCAGAGACAGTTTAAACATTTGGTTGACTGCAACAAACTATAATAATAACCAAAATGCATTAATAGCTCTTCATCAAACTGGGAGTAACAATTTGATCTTTGCCAAATTTGAGTCCTTTACACTTGAAGATTTTTATTAATGACTTAGATGAGTAAATGCTTATCAAATCTTCAGATACAAAATTGAGTGAGAAAATAGAAATAAAAAATTAAACAATATGGAGGGTTGGGGACCGTGTGTAAAATTAATAATACAATTTTGTACTGCTGTATAAATAGTTCTACTCTATTTTGCATTGATCATACAAACTCCAATCTGGATATGATATGTTAAAAAAACAAATGCAGAAAAGAACAGTGAAGATGATCTGGGGGCTAAATATTATGTGGAGAGATTGCGGTAAATGTTTTAACTTTGAGGAAAAAATGACTGTTTAAAGATTTAAAAAGAAATCATATAAAGACAGATCAATACATATTCTTGCTTGCTCAGTTTCAGATCATAGAAGAATAGTCTTAACATATGAGAAGGCAGAGGCCAACTGAAATTTAGGAAAACTACTAAAGAGCAACTGTGGCAGTGAATTAATAGAGTGCTTCCCATGAGCTTCTTCAGTGAATATGCTCAAATTGAAACTGGATTAAGAGTCATTAGATTGTGACACTTTTTAATAACCATAGACATAGATCCTGTCTAGGATTAGTTTCCTCAACAGCATTCATTGCTGTTCTAATAGAGTCCATTCTAAGATGATTAAAGAACTGGAGACAAAAACACGAAGAAAGGTTGCAGGAATTGGGTACGACCTCTCTAGAGAAAAGAAGGACTAGAGGGGACATGATAGCCGTATTCCAGGATTTGAGGGGCTGCCACAAAGAAGAGGAGGGTCAATTTATTTTCCAAAGCACCAGAAGGCTAGACAAGAAACAATAGATGGAAACTAATCAAGGAGAGAAGCAACCTGGAATTAAGGAGAAGCTTCCTGTTTTCAGAAGTTGTAGGTGCTTCATTACTGGAGGTTTAAGATTGGACAGCCACTTGTCTGAAATGGTATAGGGTCTCCTGCATGAGCAGGGGGTTGGATTAGAAGACCTCTAAGGTTCCTTCCATTTTGATTGATTGATCCTTCTTTTTCCTTTCCTTTTTCTCTTTCCTTTTCCTCTTTTCCAACATTATAGACCCCTCAAGAGTCTTCAAATAATGTACTAAAATATGATATTTTGAGTCCAGTTATTTGTGCCTCAGCTGAAAGTTCTGCATTGTTTGTTCTATTTGGTGGTTTTCATTGCTTTCTGTGATATCTTTAAAAGTCGTCTGCAATAACAAAGTTCAAATGTGTTGATACTTAACGGTAGTAGTATTAGTAGTAGTAGTAATAAAGTTGGAAGGGACCTTGGAGGTCATCTAGTCCAACTCCCTGCTCAGGCAGGAAACTCTATACCATTTCGGACAAATGGCTGTCCAGTCTCTTCTTAAAAACTTCCAGTGTTGGAGTATTCACCGCTTCTGGAGGCAGGTTGTTCCACTGGTTAATTGTTCTAACTGTCAGAAAGTTTCTCCTTAATTCTAGGTTGCTTCTCTCCTTGATTAGTTTCCATCCGTTGCTTCTTGTCCTGCCTTCAGGTGCCTTGGAAAATAGCTTGACACGCTCTTCTTTGTGGCAGCCCTGGGGTATTGGAATACTGCTATCATGTCCCCCCTCGTCCTTCTCTTCATTAAACTATTCCAGCAGCCGTTCCTTATATGCTGTAGCCTCCAGTCCCCTAATCATCTTTGTTGCTCTTCTCTGTACTCTTTCTAGAGTCTCAACATCTTTTTTACATCATGGTGACAAAACTGGATGCAGTATTCCAAGTGTGGCCTTACCAAGGCATTGTAAAGTGGTATTAACACTTCACGTGATCTTGATTCTATCCCTCTGTTAATGCAGCCTAGCACTGTGTTGGCTTTTTTGGCAGCTGCAGCACACTGTTGGCTCATATTTAGGTGATTGTCCACTAGGACTCCGAGGTCCCTCTCACAGTTATTACTATTGAGCAAGGTACCCCCTATACTATATCTGTGCATTTGTTTTTTCTTGCCTAAATGTAGAACCTTACATTTTTCACCATTGAATTTTATTTTGTTAGATAGCGCCCAGGGTTCAAGTCTGTCCAGATCCTTCTGTATCTTAAGCCTATCTTCTGTAGTGTAGGCTATTCCTGCCAGCTTGGTGTCGTCTGCAAATTTGATGAGTTCCCCATATATCCCCTCATCCAAATCGTTGATAAAGATGTTGAAGAGCACTGGGTCGAGAAGAGAGCACTGGGTCCAGAACAGGCACCACACTACACACTTCCCTCCATGTAGATGCAGTTCCATTGAGAAGCACACGCTGAATACGGCCGGTCAGCCAGCTACGGATCCATCTGGTGGTGGTGCTGTTTACCCCACATTTTTCTATCTTATCAAGTAGTAGGTTGTGGTCTACCTTATCCAATGCCTTACTAAGTGCAAGTAAATTATGTCCACAGCATTCCTCTGATCCACTAATTTTGTCACTTGATCAAAGAATGCAATAAGATTTGTCTGGTATGATCTATTTTTGACAAACCCATGTTGGCTTTTAGTAATGACTTTGTTTGCCTCTAGGTGTTCGCTGATTCGTTGTTTGATTATCTTTTCCAGGATCTTCCCAGGTATTGAGGTCAGGCTGATAGGTCTGTAATTTCCTGGGTCCATTTTTTCTTCTTTTTTGTAGATGGAAACTACATCAGCTCTTTTCCAGTCCTTTGGTAGTTCTCCTGTGCTCCAGGATCTTTGAAAAATATAGTTCAGTGGCTCCGATATCACATCTGCCAGTTCCTTGAGAACTCTGGGGTGTAATCCATCTGGTCCTGGTGATTTGAACTTGTCTAGGCTGGACAGGTGCTCACTTGCCATTTTCTTGTCTATCTTAACTTGTGTTTCTATTCTGTTTTTTATGGCACTATTTTTGGTAGGCTGGTCTATTTTTTCCCTTTGTGTAAAGACAGATGCAAAAAAATGAGTTAAATAGTTCTGCTTTCTCCCTGTTGCTTGTCACCTTCTTGCCATTTTCACCCACTAATGGACCAATTGTTTCCTTCACTTTTTTGTTGTTCTTTACATGTTGAAAGAAGCTTTTTTTGTTGTTATTTTTTGACTTTGGTCGCAAGCCTTAGTTCATTTTGAGCCTTGGCTTTTCTCACTTCATCTTTGGAAGCTCAGGCTATTTGCTGATATTCTGACTTAGTTATGTGCCCCTCTTTCTACTTTCTATACTTGTCCTTTTTATCTTTCAATTTGTCAGAGAGTTCTTTATGCAACCATGCTGGTTTCTTTTGAGAGCTGTTATTTTTCCTCTTTGTTGGTATTGTGCTAGACTGGGCTTTTATTATCTCATTTTTCAAAATTCCCCAAGCTTCTTGAGTTGTTTTCCCCTTGAGGATTCTCATCCATGGAATCCTTCCCAAGCCCTCTCTAAGTTTATTGAAATTAGCTCTCTTGAAGTCCAAGACTCTAGTTTGACTGTGTTCTATTGCTTGTGCTTCCATAATGTTGAATTCCAATATTGCATGATAACTTCCTCCTAGGGTTCCTATGGCTTCAATACCTTCTATCATTTCATCTCTGTTAGTGAGAATTAGATCCAAAATGGCTAATCTCCTAGTTCCCTTCTCTACTTTTTGGGAGACAAAGTTGTCTGCTAGGTTTGCCAGGAACCTGTTTGATCTTCCACTTGGTACAGAGTTTGTCTCCCAATTGATGTCAGGATAGTTAAAGTCCCCCATTACTATTGTGATGTGCTTCCTACATAGTTAGCTGACTAGCAAAAAGTTCATCTATTTCCTCTGTTTGGTTGGGTGGCCTGTAGTATACACCCATGGCAATGTCATTTTTTCCCCCTTTTACATTGACCCAAATGCATTCAAGACAGTTTTTATCATTGTTGTGCTCTATTTCTGTAGAGATGTAGTTATTTCTTATATAGAGAGCAACTCCACCTCCTCTTTTATTTGGTCTGTTTCTTGTAAATAATTTAAATCCCTCTAGCTGTGTGTTCCATGTGTGGGTTTCATCCCACCATGTTTCCGTAATGGCAACAATATCATATCTGCCTTCATTAACCTGAATTTCTAGTTCACCCTGTTTGCTGTTCATACTCTGTGCATTGGTGTATAGACATTTGAGTCCTTTATGACTGGCCCTGTGTTTACTTTCTACATAACCTGTGTGGTGCCTGAGTTCCCCTATTGTCTTACCACCTATTTGGTTAGTGCACTTTGTGTTACACTCACTATTAGAAGCTTGATTTTGCTTGACAGCAAGGTTGGTATTCTTGTCCACACACACATCTATGTTACATGCACTGATAGCCCTATAATTTTTAGATTGTTGGGGACAGGGATGTTCTGTATCAATTAACTCACTGTCCCTACTGTTTAGTTTAAATATTCCTCCAGAAAATCTGTGAATTTATAGCCAAGTAACTCAGTCCCTTTCTTTGATGGATGCAAATCATCTCTTTTGTACATCTTTTCATTGGACCAGCTGCAGACATCGTGACTAATATATCCAAAGCCTTTCCTTTTACACCACTCCTTTAGCCACATATTAAATTGTGCTATGCGCTGGCCTTTTCCATTTTGGCTCCTTATACACTGGTAAAACCTCTGAGAAAGTAAGTTCTGGGGCATAAAGAATACTTTGAAAACAAAACTATAGAGATTACATCCTTAAAAAAAATATTTGGGAAATCTAATCCTGGTTTTTTTTTTCACCATTTCCTGATTGACTTTAAAATACAAAAGCTGTATATTGGTACAGCTGTGATTTTAGCAATTCTCTGACTGCTGGAGTACCAATATGGAGCTGGTACTGTGCACAGCTCTTCTTAGACTATTGACTGCTAAAGTCGTTATAGGATTTGAACTAATATGAATGTTAATGAAACATTTAATTCTACTTTGAAATGCAAGTTTTCAAAATATCCAATTAAATTATTTTGCATAAACTATAGATTGCAGCAATGTGATGTATGATGAGTAAAAGGGAAGAGAATATTCCAGCTTTTTCAGTTTCTGCACAAATAAGACCATAAATAAGAGCATGAATAAAAGATTGAACTTAAATAGTACTGTTCAAAAGGTACAATAATTCTTTTTAAAATATTTTAAAATTTAATTTTAAAAAAAGGTATTCCTTTTGGTGTCTTGTATTTCACTTCTTAATTATCTAATAGTCTGCAAGTACTGCAGTTCTTTGAACAAGATATTTTTTGAAGCAACTAGCTAAGTAATCTGATAGCAAAGATAACATGTGTAAATAATGTGAGAAATCAAAGTAACTTGTACTGTTTTATGTATGTACTTTCCTCTAAATAAAATTGAATATTGAAAAAACACACAAAGCATATTTAACGCTTTTAAGAACTGCCTGGCAATAGAAATTGTGACAAGTGAAAAAATACACTTCACTAAAAGCCACAGCAGCTTCTCCCCACCTAGGATATTCTTCTCTTTAAAAAAAAAAAAAAAGTAAACTACTATTTTCATCATTCTCAGCCAAATAGGGATGTGGGTTTTTGTTTTTGTTTTTTGTTATACGAAGCATGAAGACATTAGGAGAATTAAATTTGGACATAACATTAATGAATCCACCTGAATAATTGCTAGTAAAATAAAGGAAACTCCATGCAATATATATTCATGGGAAAATTAGAGTTTTCAGTTAGATAGAGCATTAGCATACACCCACATGAGAAAGCTATTCAGGAAAACAGAAAGCAGGTGATAATTAAGGGTAATAAAATAATTGTTATATAGCATGATTTCTCTTTCTGTTTCAAAGCTCTCCAGACTGGTCTGGAAAATACATAGTAAAATACATTATCAAAGCAGAATTATGAGCAAAACAACTCTTTGTATGTCCTTTGCAGCTTAGAAAGAGAATTTGATACAATAATATAATTTACTTGCTTCTAAAAAATTTGGAAGATTGGGTCTATGCCACTGATGATTCTTGTTATAGTAAAACAAAATACAACATATAAAATTACAATTCTAATTTTGAGAAGAGGGATATTGAAATAATCCCTTTTGCTCTATTTAATTTACAAGTGGAGAATATAATTTTTTGAGAGAAAAGTCATTTCGAAATTACTGCAGGACATGCAGAATGTTTGAGAGAACCCAAATTTCTTATCTATTATTATTTTTAATTCATTAACTTAACACAGAGTATTGTCCTCAGCTAAATTTTTAAAGTCCTCTAGAAGGAAACAGTTTCTACCTCTGACAAGACCAACTTACTTACCCTGCAGCATAATGGAAACGAGATAGAAAAAGACAGAAACAAAACTTGTCCACTGTTTGCTTAAGCTCCAACAATCATAACGTAGAACCTCTATGGATTACCCATTGTTGGTTTAACAGATACTTAAACCACTGATTTTATGTGCCACTGAGATTTCTTGGTGATTATAAAAACCTATTAAGCTATATGACTCTAGAATTGGGTGATATCATTAAAAAAATCCTTTAGATTATCCCATCTTGGATAAGGATCAATTATAGATAATTTAACTAAAATACAGTCCTGGATCATGTGCATATATTATTTGATTTACATCTTCATTCATGTTTGCTGTAATATCCAGGAATTTTTCATTTTAAAAGCCAGATATGGTCCTTTAAAATCAAACTGGATTTGCTATCCATGTGTCATGTTTATTTTTTCCAAGTGATTCTAATAATACAATGCAAGGAAAGCATTTGATTATTTAAGAACAGAAAAAATGACTTTGCAAATGACTTTGTGATATGACTTCTGAAACTATAGTTTAGCAAGGAAACTATAGTTTAGGAAAAGAATAGAGGAGAAATTCTGAATGAGAGATGACTATTACTGGTAGGTATTAACATTAATACTATTAAAACAGTATTAATGTTATGGAAATTGAGCTCTTATTTAAACTTTACTGTGGACAAGCTATGATCAGTGTGTTTTTGTCCAGAAGTTGTGGGTGCTCCAACACTGGAGATTTTAAAGAAGAGATTGGGAAACCATTTGTCTGAAATGGTATAGAGTTTCCTGCTTGAGCAGGGGATTGGACTGGAAGACCTCCAAGGTCTTTTGAAAAGCATCTTGGGGACAATCATGAATTGGATGACTGAGAATCTCCATAGACATCCAAGATCCCCATGAATTGTGTTATTCTGTATTATTTAAATACTTGCTCATATGGTTGATGACTACTTCCCATGATTTGGAACTACCTAGTCCATAGGTAGTTTTGTTTCAGCTGCTCAAAAGCAGCTATCTGTTCTGAAATATCATATCAGAGTGTTTGGCATTTTCAAGGTTGATCCCAAATCCATGAGCTGGTAACTAGGTCACAAACTTCTTCAGAAGCCAGATACGTTCAACTCTTTAGTGTGAGAAAATAAGCCTCTGGAATAACTGGAACAGAGCCAACTGGCATTGTAAGGAGCAGCAGTTATCAAACTGGCATTTAGAATCTGTTTCCTTCACGTCTTGTCTTTCCTGACTGACATTCTTCCTGTTATCTTTGGTATTCACTTTGACTCTCTGCAATTGTCCAATTTCCTTTCTTTTATTAAAGGAATGGTTTATCAGCACAAGCCCAGGAAGGGTGTTGTCACAGGAAAATTGCTGCCTTTATAAAATGGTCATGCACACACAGATGGAGGAAAAAATCTGAACCTTTAAAATGCAAACGTCATCTTGTATTTACATAAGATGATGGCAGGATCCAGGCAAGTCAATTACTTTTCTGAAACGACAAGATTTCACTTGATTATTTATATAATATAGGCAGAGATATCTTTTTTACCCTCCCTAAAATTCTGATAATTTACCCCAACATTTTTCCAGATGTAAATGCACAACCTGAAAGAATTTGAAGAAGGATGCAGGGCATTTGAAAGCATGAAATTGTATAGTATATTGAGCTCTTGCTTGATTTAAAGGATAAGAGACTTTACTGTATTTTCCCTCTTTCCACTACTTGAACTTCAGATCTAATATACGAATAATAAATCAAGATGAAATCGTGGGTCTGCATTGTACAGACATTTGTAAAGCTTAGAGAATTGCTTAAATGAGAATTAGCTGGGAAGAGTGGGTTTTATTCTTTTTAACATGGCTGTTGTACAAGTACGATCTTATAATCGATAAAGCACTGATTATGTTACTACTTGTATCTGAAGGTCACAGTGCAATGGATATGAGAGGAGATTCCATGAGGATGACTGTGCACCTGCTTGCCAACACTGGACATGCAATACACTTGCAACAAGTTCTTGATCAACTTCAAGAATGGATCTGCCTGGATGTTCGCCTCTTTCTTGTCTCAGAATGCCCTTCTCCCATTAAGTATTATGAGACATATCGCCAAAAGAGTTCCAGGTTTCCTAGTACTTCTGTTCTCCTTTTTTTGCATGAGGACTTTGGAGAAGAACGGTTTTTCCAGGTACATGACTTCTTTCAACATCCACCTTGGCAACCTATCCACATTGAGTATCCCAGCAGGAAGCTATCCCTCCATGCTCTTGATCATCAGGACTTCTATGGACTGGATGAGCATATGCCGGTATGGGGCCTGAGACAAGTTCACTATGGCATGGAAATCCTGCGTGTCACTCTCTATTGTAGCTTTGATAATTATGAGGATGCAGTAAGACTTTATGAGACAATCCTGCAGAAAGAAGCATCTGTCCAAAAAAGCAGCTTCTGTGCTTTCCTACTGTACACAACACAGAGCCTCGTGGTTCAGCTCTGCTTGAAGCAGCTGCCTTTGGGGATGAGTGTTGACCTGAAGGAATCTTCAGTATTACAGTTCAAAGTGCATGAAATTGGACAGCTGGTTCCACTTTTGCCCAATCCCTGTGTCCCAATAAGCAATACTAGGTGGCAAACGGAAGACTATGAAGGAAATAAGATCCTGCTGCAGGTACTTGTTGTCACTGCAATAGATACCAAAAGACATGATGGTAGAACTTTTGTATTGTCCTTAGCATGGACACTATGCAATAGCTGATACTGCTATTTTCACATATAAGATTATTCTTCAGATATATTTTATTTGATATTTGGTATGGCTGTACAAAGTAATTGTAGAGGCATTCATTGGAATAAGAAACCACTTTGTCCCATTGATTGATTATTGATTGATTAATCATATTTGAAGTGTTGAAGCAAGAATGTCTTCCAGAAAACCTGGTGTGATTCCTCTGAAGACTTACAGATGGTGTGTCCATTTAAATTGCATGTGGTTATGAGTTTGGAAAGCATTCAAAGCCAAACTTTCTGAAGGTTGCAGCTGATTTGCAATCACAAAATATTAATGTTCTTTGAAATTATATATGAATTAAATCTTTTAAAATTCTGTCTTATTTTGCAGTTATTAAAAGACAGACAAAATCCTTCAAAAAACATCTGGACTTCAGCAGGCTTATGGTTAATCCAATGACATGTAAAGTGAATGCCTGGAATTACAGGCCTTGTAAAAAAATTATCATTAGCATTATAAACAAGTAGACCAATAAAAATAGAATTGGTCAATAGAACATTAGGGTAACAATTTATCCTTTGATTTGGTATAAGGGATGTTACATCTTTCCAGTGTTTGCTTAATTATTCCCACTGCTGTCCCACTTCCTCTGCCCAATTCCATTCAAAGCTAGGAATGTGTTTTCCTTACCTATGTCCTTAGTAGAACTTTTTAATTATTGATTTGTGGTTGATGGTTTTATAGGATCAGGTGTAGATCTGACTTTATTACTATTGTCAAGGTGCAGTTAATTTATGTTTTTGTCTACAGGTTCAAAGCACAGGCTCAGAGCACAATGGAACTCAGTCTCTACCTCCCAATTTGCGCAACAGCACTGATGAGAAAGTGTCTCTCCGTTACCGCTGTGATTTATGTTCCAGTGTAATGACTCCCAGAACTGCTGTTCAGCAGAAAAACCGGACTCTTCGAGCCATGAAAAATAAAAACAAATCTGCAAGGAGGATGGTGCAAACTCCTACAAGTCTTTTCAGTCCTTCACAAAGCAGCTTTAATTCTTCCTCCAGTTTGTATAATATAGTACATTCTTCTTTGCAAGATCTAGGCCCTTCCCCAATGAACCTGGGCACTAAATTGAGACATTCCAGCCATGAGCTGTGGCTATCCCAGAACAAAGCAGAGGAGGAGGAAGAGACTAATGTTGACACAGGCAAGAGAGTAGTACCTTTCACATGTGCTAACAACTCTCCCCTAAACAGATTTTCAAAGGACTTACAAAAAGAACTTCTTCAGTCCCAGGCACCAAGCAGTTCATTTATGGAAACAGGTTTGGGTTCTGAGGACAGGAACTCTCTATTGTCTTTACATATTGCTGAACTGAATAAAAGATCAGGATTTAATCATTTTCAGCTGAGCACATCAGGAGCAAGTGATGGGAATGAGAAAGATGAGGAAGAGTTTTTTATATGATTTGAAACTTCCATGTGTCTTTTACTGCCTTATTTTTGGAATATCAGAAAGTACAATTGATCTATGCTTCTGTATAAATAATCTGGCAGTGTATGCTACCTTTTTATATTAGCACGACAAAGAAAGGTTTACAAAAGCTGTTGCCAAAAGAGCAAAAAATGTTTATGGATTAAAGTTAGAACTTGGGGAAAAAGAAGAGGAAGAATTTTGCAATAGAAATTTCACGTACTGGAGAACATTGCTCAATAGATTGGAAGAAGCCACTCATTTTAATGCACCACATAAACTTACAGAAATTCACTAAAAATCTAGGAGAAAAACTGAAATCTAGGAAAGCTAAAAGAAATTTGGGAGACGTCAAGTTGGGATGATGAAAACAGTGCTTTGTTTAATCTTAACTTATCTGACTCATATGAGAAGCTTGTTAGTTCTTGGGTAGGGCCTCCATGAAATATCCTAGAAGAAAGCAATGGCAAAATATTGCCACCAAGAAAATACATGGACACATTTATGAAATCATGAAGGTTCAAGTTTAACTTTTCCCATACCATAGAAATGAGTTTAAAGATATAGAAAACCAAATAACCATTTTCATTTTGTCATCATTACTATGCTAAATCTATCCTCATTTTCCCATGCTTCCTGTACTACATCTTGATGTCAGAAGTATGAAAATGCAACTTTGGGTCTTGGGGACTAATGGCTTTCCATTGTTAAAAATGCAACTTATAAAGCAGAGGGGCACTCATAAATCTGGCTTCTGAATGTCAATCCAAATGCTACACTTCTTAGAATGGGCAAGATTAGACAATATGTCTAAGGCCAGGATAAATACTACATTTCATTGAGCATAATTTAAATATAAGTCAACTTATTTAAGATAAACTGATTATTCTATTGTTCATTTATTTTCATTACATTCATATTGAAACCTAGTAGCAATTTTTCCAGATTGCTCTGGAGAATATATCAAAGCTCATTCTGGAGCTCAGTTTTTGCACCTTGATGGAAAATGTAGTGCTACTGTTGTGACTACTGTATTAATATTTCTTAAACTATGGGCTACTTATGTCTAACTGATACTTGATAATGAGTTCTAGAGAACAGGAAACAAACACTGAGTTTGTTACACCATATTCATTTCTCAATCTGTGTATCAGAGAACTTAGATATATGATCAGAAGGCTGAGCTATATTCAGAATGATAAATAACTATTTATAAGAACTATGGCAAATATAGGTGTGACTTTGTGCATTTGCTTTAACAGATGAGTTAAACTTGCCAATAACGAATTGTTATCTATCTATTATCTTATTATCTAAAGTAATATTGCACTATCAATGTATTGATTGTCATTAGAAATATTTTTTTTCTACTGCTAGGCAGAGGTGGAAGGTCTGAGGCTCTCAAATCATATGTGACACCGAAAAGCCTTGGGTGCCCCAGGTATCTCCAAAGATATTATCAAATAAAAAGTTGAATATGACAGAAGCTGATAGATTAAATGCTATCAAGTCAATCAGAAGGGGGGATCTAATTAACATGTCAAGTATTGTTTTGCAGCCCACAATGATTTTTAATTGTTCAGTGTGACCCTTTCCCCTCTACAAATTATACAGGTCTGATCTAAACACATCCCAGCACTTGAATACCTTTTCTAAGGTCTTTGTGGCTGCTGTACCAAGTGCTACTCTGAACCCTGGGTTCCCAACCCCTGGGCCATGGACCAGTATTGGTCTGTGGTCTGTTAGGTGCCATGCAAATGACAGGTGAGCGAGTGAAGCTTCATCTGTGCATGCGTGGGATCTAGGGTATGTGCAAAACCACCACCACCCCCATTCCAGGAAACCATTCCCTGGTTCCAGAAAGATTGGGGACCACTGGTCTGAACTATATTTTTAATTACTTGTCCTTTTTTAGTAGAAAGTTGATTCTGTAAAAGGCAAAAACTATTCACCACTTCAATATTTTCATTGAATGCAGATGCAGGAATTATGGTTGTAACTATTGTGCGACAGAAATTAAAGTGAATACCTGAGAATATCAGAAAATAAGCATATTAAGTCATTTTAATTATGTTTATAGTATAAATGAAATGAAATTAATATTATTTTAGAATTATTTTAGAATTGAGCCTTACTGGTTGCACTCAAGAAAATGTTTGGAAATGGATGGGTTTTTTTTTTTTTTTAGCAAAGTGCAAATAGCAAGACCAGAGAAGCAGATAGCTAGAAGAGGTGCAGCCAGTCTGAGAAGGCATTTGAAGCTACATACAACAATATTTTGAAGCAGAATCAAGAGAAGGTATAGTCATATCTCCAGTTGCAGCTTCCCTTCCTTTCTCAGTTGAAATGACTAACTCACTATAGAGTGCTTCACTATGCTTACAAACAGGATGAACAAAACTTTTGTTTCAAACCTGAGACAAACCTTCATGTTATAGAAATGCAGATGTTTTTATGTCCCACCCTCCCATCTTCTTAAGTGTCCAATGAAACTTCATTTCCAATAACCTTTCTTCCACCCACCCCCACTGCTTCCCCTTGGCTGTTACTGATATCCCATCATGGCGTATCTCACTGGCCCTCCTTCCCAATCTTCCATCCTCTCCCTCCCCTCAACTCCTACCACCAAAGGATTGGCTTGTGAACCTCATTGCAGGAGTCTCCCAATGCATTTCTGGCTCAGCTGCTTCTCCCTGTCTCCTGTCAGACATCACTACAGATTTCCTTCCTATTTCTTGCTGATGCACATACTTCACACTAAACACTTCTGCCCATCAAAGAACTGTATTTCAGGTCATACCCGAAATAAAACAACCCCAAATTGTTTCAATATTTTGCTTTTAATATCCAGGTTCAAATTTCCATTTTATCATGAAATTCACTGCCTTTGGCCATTATTCTCTCTAATGAAATTGTTACTATAAAATAAGAAACAAATCTCATCAACTTATGAAAGGAGGGAGGGAAGGGAAGGGAAGGGAAGGGAAGGGAGGAAGGAAGGAAGGAAGGAAGGGAAGGAAGGAAGGAGAGGGAGGGAGGCCTTCATCAAGTAAGAAATCTCGAACAATTTTATTTTAAAACATCTTAATCCCAATAAGTAGGTTCTTAACTGTTCTCACAAGCTGATTTTTGAATGCATTATTTTAGCTAAACAAAATTAATAATGCAATATAGTTGCTTTTTAAAATTGTCCTGCTTTGAAAAGGATCCAGGGCTGAACCAGGTGAGAAAGGCATTTGCCTGAACTTTATTTTTGTACAGGTTCAAAAGTGAAGGATTAAAAATGTACATGGAAGTCAGCAAAGCTACTACATAAAAATCAGTTGCAAACAAATCAGAATAACAGAGTGGGAAGGGACCTTGGAGAACCTCTAGTTTAACCCTCTGTTCAGGCAGGAAACCCTATATCATTTCAGGTAAATGATAGTCCAATTTCTTCCTAAAAATCTCTGGTGTTGGAGCACCCACATCTTCTGGAGGCAAGTGATATCTTCACCTCTGAAGCAGTTCATTTAAAAACCAATATCAGAGATGGTTACTATATATTCAACCAGCAGTTTATTTTTTAAACCTGATCCACCTTGTATGCTAAACGGTTTCCATAGATATAGCTAGTAGGAATTCCATGGAGAAATTGATCACTGTTTTGATAATGTGAATATTTCCTAAGTTACTTCTCCCAAATGTTGCCAACTAAATCTGCTTTCCTGAAAATCTATTCCATCTCAGTTCTTCCAGAATGGCTTTATATTTGCTTCAGTTAGAGATAAACCTGCATAGATAATTCATTATTCTGAAGAGTTGGCACTAACCATGCCAACTAAATGAGAGAGATGTATAGACTTGTGATGGCCTGCATAGATTAAAAAAAAAATCATCCTAGCTGAATCATGAAAGGCTATTTTATATAATCTCCTATTATTCTTACTAATTTTAAAGTTCTGATGATGAAATGTTAGACTAGTGAAAGGGAGGCATATGTTAGGATAGGTAACCTTGTGCTTCCACATCTTGCTATGTGTCATAGTCCCATATTTGGTCTATATGTCATAGTCCAGGAGTCTTCAAACTTGGCCCTTTTATGACTTGTGGTCTTCAACTCCCAGAATTCCTCAGTTGAAGTCCACAAGTCATAAAAAGGCCAAGTTTGAAGATCCCTGTCATAGTCCCATTCACACTGCTCTTAGTATGAATTGTGACCTTATAAATAATGAACTGTCTATTACCTCAATCAGTTCATATTACCTCCATATAGAAGCAATCATGTTTGTATGATTAAATATTTAGAAGGAACATGGAAAGCTATCTTGTACAATTTAGGCCTAGATCTGCCAATCTATGATCTATTCCAAATTTTAGAATCTAATGCAAATCTGGTGAATGGGGGCTTTAGTTCTCCAGGCTCTTAATTTTTTGAATTTCAGCCTTAACCTTCTCTAGCAGTTTAATAAAATAATGTCAGATGCAAAGAATCAGGACCACAAGTTCAGTTCCAGTTAAGCTAATTTATTGCTCATGCCTATACACAAGAATCTAGTCAACTAATGGTCAGCATTAAATTGGTTCTAGGTAAAAGTTAAAAGAACTCAAGGGAGGCTGGACTTGAACCACTTGGGGGAACTTAATAATTTCAGGCTGATTCCTCTCTTGACTCTGGCCTCAGGCTGTGTCTCTCCTTCTACAATATTGACAGATTGCTAAATAGCTGGGATAATATATTTGTCACAAAAAAAAAATCATTCTAAGCCAACAACATTTCTACAGATGGAATGAACTGTTTTTGTATGAATTTAATATAACAGAAGTTATATTGAGATATTTCAGTTTGTTTATCCCAGAGGAAATAACTGCATAGAAAGGAAAATGCTTAGAGTAATTTTAGAAATTAATTTAAGTAGACTGTGGTTGTTTCCCCTGCCATTGTAGCCAATTAGTATGCAGCATGTCTCCCATTTTCCTGCTGTCAATGAAAACATAATTTGAAGAATGTCTCAAAAGTGCTGTTCCAATATTTATTTACAACTGTAATTTTCAGTATGAAGTCTCTGCTCCTCAACCATGATGAGTTTAGCTCCAAAGAGCTTTATGAAAGAGGAAGAATAAAAAAATGTTTATCATTATCAATGCAAAATGCTACAGCAGTCTAAATGAACTTCAGGTTGCACTGTGCTTTAACAGTATGGGTGCTATTTAGTTGGTCCACAATGATGAGAAAGCAAAAGGGACGTTTGGGACATGATATAAGACAGGATGCTCCAAAGTTACAGGCTTAGCTGCCTCAGGGCATAATAACATCTTTTGTTCTTGCCTGAAACTAGCAGCAGAGTTATTTCAAAAAAAGAGGAAGAAAAAAACTTTAGCTTGTTGCCAAGGAACTGAAACAGTGTCCCATAGCATCTTGGAAGCAAAGCAGAAGACTTTTGGAGTTTTGCCTAGTATGTCCTGACCTGAGTGTAAGATTTTGGAGTAAGTGAATATCTGATGATTAATGTAGAAAGAGGAATTAGTTTTAGCCTGTCCTAAAAATACCATTATATCCTGTATGCTGCATGAGCTATATGCGCTATATATAAAATGACAAGTTGCTTATAAATGACCTAAATAAAACATAAATAAAGATCATCCAGAGGTAGGAATAGAAACTGCAGCTGTGGACAGAGTAGAAGAGAGCTGCTGGCCAAGACAAGAAATGAGGAAGATTTTTCTTCTTTCCTCCCATTGCCGATTATGGGAGTAAATTCTTTATGCCAGCCTAGTGTTCATCTGTTTCTATGGGCATATCAAGGAACGAGAGGATTGGAAACTAGTAAATTCATTCTTTCTTCAACATTTTTTTTCAATGGGATGCCTGATTTTCCCTTAAATGACTGATGGAAAACTGTTCCCAGACTATCAGCAATATCAGAGTTTCTGTTGTGGAATGGATATCTAAATAGCATGTTGTGGGCAATTTTCCTATGTCAACTGGTGCTTCAACTCTTTGTAACAAGGCCTTGCATTTGATCATCTAATACATTTATGACAGTGTCCTTAACCTGCTGCTGTTGATTGACTGAAAATGAATTAAGCAGCAGTCTTTAAAAAAACACAGTATTTAAATTATAAATAGTAAACTCCAAATGCTAAAGAAATCTTGTCCACCATTAGCAATGTATCTGCTCAAATTAAACACCTATCCCTGAACCAAGGAAATATGTTTTTTTCTCCTCAGGGAACAAGTGTATTTGTTTAAGAATACCTTTACTTACAAGGTACTATTAAATAATGGCTTTATTTTAATACCATCAGAAACCAGAATTTAGAGTAGCAAGATTAGAATCCAAATTAGTGTCCTTTCCTCTGTTCCTCCCCCAGGAAGGACCATAGCTAAGTCTAAGACTATAGCTTGCTTAAAATGCTAATACAAACTGGGCAGAGCTGGCTTGTTGAAGTAAAGTTAACATGAATCTCCACATAAGACTTGAACAAGAAAAACGAACATTTGGAACTTGTAGCTGCATATGGATGTGGAACTACTCTGCAGACTTGATTTGTGATAAATTGTAGTTTAGCATCTTTTCTCAGTATGGCATTGAGTTAGGCATTCAGACTTGATACCAGTGTTTTGTGTTTGTTATATTTCATATAAATGGAAAGTTCTAATATTTCAGAGGCTTTACCAACATCAGTGGCTCAGTCACACAGTATAGAACATGAAATATATTGAGAAAAGGCCAGCCAGAATAATTGGTTTTCCAGAGCAGAAAAAAATGGAATGTACAGTATGTGACGTTTTGATGCCTACTATCTCCTAGGAAGCTTATTGCTTGATAAGAAATGCATATTTTATTAAGTTTTGTGGAGCTACGAGATAGCAGGCCGATAAAGAGGAGCGACAGCTGCTACTTTGATAGAACATTGATAAAAAATATTAGAGCTTGCAAAATGTTTTTAAAAGGAGTTTCAAAAACACATTGGCATGAATGAAGTAGCCTCACGTTTTCCGGTCCATGTACAGGTAAAGCCTCAACTTTCCTGCTTCCCAGAGAAGTATTCGGTGTGCTTCAGATAAATGTGCAAGAAAAGGGAAAACATTCAAAACAGCTGGAGAAACTTGGAAAAGCCAGTGCTACTTTGACAGTTTGAAGAAAGGTATTTCATTCATGCTAATGCATTTTTAAAAATGCTTCATTTAAATACTGTACAGAATCATCAAAAGAATATTGGTATTTGCTAATAATCTAATGGAATTCCACCAGTTTCACTGGTTTCTTCTTAAACTTACCTCTGACATTTTGGTATACCGTATATTCCGACGTATAAGACGACTGGGTGTATAAGACGACCCCCAACTTTTGAGAAGATTTTCAGGCTTTAGAAAGTCATCTTATACGCCAGAAAATACAGTACAATATTGAATTTCTGTTTATAGATGAGCACAATAGGAGCTCCTTTGCTGCTAGAAAGCTTTGTCCTGTTAGTGCTTATTTCTGTAAAAAAAATAGGGCTGGCCACTAGGGGGCAGATTGGTTTTAAATTCAGAGAACAGCTACCCGTATAAGACGACCCCTGACTTTTGAAAAGATTTTCAGGCTTTAGAAAGTCGTCTTATACACCAGAAAATATGGTAGATTTTAATAAACTTTGAAAGTATTAATAGGATATTTTGAAAATTCAGATGGTGCAAAATGCAGTGTCATGAGCATTTATGTGTGTTTCTGGCAGAACACATGTTATGCCTCTGCTGCCAGTTTTTTCTGTAACCAATTCAAGGTGTTGGTGTTTGCCTTTAAAGCCCTACATGGTATAGGACCAGGTTATTTGAGGGACCACCTTCCCTGATTTCATCTGTTCTTCCCACCAGAACCAACAATGTGGGCATGCTACTGGTTGAATCATCTAGGGAGTTGCACCTGACAGGTGCTAGCAATGGGCCATCTCTGACGTGCCTGCATAGTGGATTCTTCTCACCCCTGAGGTGAGGATGGCTTCATCTTTTCTGAGCTTCCAAAGATCCCTCAAGACCTGGTTATTCCAGTAGGCGTGAGGAACCCGGGGGATGAGAAACTAGTGATGTGGCTCCATTAATTATTAACATCCCTTCATCTATAATTCTTTGTTTTAGCTCTGTTCTTATAGTTGTTAAATTTTAAAAAATAATGATAATTGTCTTAGTTATTTATTGTTTTAGTTTTGTTGTAGGCCACCTAGTGTCACTTGTTTGTGAGGTGGGCAGCTATATAACTGTGATAAAGATTTAAAATATTATTACATATCATGAAATGATTCACTTTGGATTATTATTTTTCTAAAACACAGATAATCATTTTATTGGCTGATGAGAAGTGCAAATAGGAGAACACACAAAATTATTGGTATGTCCACATAGGATAAATATAATACATAAATGTTAGCCAAATTTCCCAAAGGTGTTCATGGTTGTGTTCCACCAAACAGCAAATTCTGGGATTGGTTTTTTCCCATAATTATTATAAAAGCAAAATTGAAATGTTGGAATCACTATTGTTTTAACATCTAGTATAATGACAGTTAAATAAACCAGTAATGAGTTTAGATTAACAAATAAACACGAGTAGTTTTTTACAAAAAGTATATATAGTTGTTTTAGCAGGGAATTTTTTTTTAAATATGGATAGAATTATAGAGGATAGAAATATTTTAAAGAAATAAACAATAATCTGTACATGATATGTAATTACGTGGGAAATATGAATTAAGTCATAAGAGTATATCAATGTGCATAATAGGCTGTGATGAGAAAGTTGTTTATTGAATTTATCTAGAAACAGGAGAAGATACAATCTGTTTCTAATTCAAATTAAATGTTTGTTTTTTCCAGTGAGGCTATTCATATTTACTGGAATATGCTACCTCTCCATCTTGTGGTCAAAAATGGCAAGTTTTCTTGAAGATTTGTTAATTGTATAGAATAGAGTATTTTTCATAACATTCCTATGATTATTTCGCACACCTGTTATTTGGAAAAGTTGCTCAAAATTTATCTAGTCCTTCCATACACCACACACAAAGTACAAAAGTATCTCTACTGAAAATATTTGTATATATATGTCAATAGTTGACATCTGCTGAGGTTTTGGGCTCAAATCTGAGGCAGAACAGATACCAACTCTGCCTCTACTGGCAACACTGCAACATGAAATAACAGATTTCACAATATCAGCAGTTGATAAATTGGAAAATCTTTATTTAAGGGAATAATATAAGGAGGAACTATTTGTTAAAGTGGAATGGTGTTAAATTCAAATGGGATTTTATACTAAAATGATAATGGCCATTTTATGGGCATACAAAATATAAAGTGAACAGATTTGGAATATTAGATCTGATATTCATTAAACCAAGGTCCATTAAATCAAGGGTTTATTTTATTTTGTCATCTCTGGTTGATCTTTAGTCATAATAAATTTAAATTTTAAATCTTACTTTACTATTCCGGTAGGGATGAACAAGCCATCTCAGTCAAAAGTCTAGATGGAAACAAATCTCTGATAAGAAATACGAACACAAAAAAATATTGATATTTTAATGTTTTAGTCTCCCAACCACTTTTTCCTCTAAGAGGGTTACCTAGGATAATAGGCACCTCAAGAACAAAATATAACACTGCAGAAGTGAAATACGTTATACTGAAAATCCCGGTATTATCTCCCATGGCTTTACTATTGAATGAACATATAACATATAAAGTTAATCAGCTTGCCAATGCAAGAATGCATGCATTGTTTACATTACAAATTTACATTATAAATTTGTTATACAAAATACAAAAAGTTTACATTACAGATTTGTTACTCTTAAAGTATTGTGAGATTCTAATGGTACAACACTATCACAACTATTCTGGAAATGACTTAAAATTTAAAGGCAAGACACTATGGATATATGTATAGCTGTTTTTGACGGCAGCAAACCCAGACCAGTACCTTAATCCTTTGTGTTAAACAAATGAAATGTGGATTTACAGGTGGCTGTTACATATAAGCTGGGTTGACAAGATCAGAAATGAGGAGGTGATAAGCCGCCTAGGAAAGCCAAGGGAAATCATCAAAACAATTAAAAAACGAAAATTAGAGTATTTCGGACATCTGATACGACACCCAGAAAAATACGGCACACTCCATTTAATCCTGCAGGGAAAGACTGAAGGCAAACGAGGTCCAGGGAGAAGAAGAACATTGTGGCTTCAAAATCTAAGGTATTGGTTTGGACAAAACTCAGCAGCACTTTTTCGTGCGGCTGCTGATAAAAACAGGATCGCCAACATGATCGCCAATGTCTGATAATGGATATGGCACAACAACAAGAAGAAGTTAAATGAATGGCACAAATGGCATAATCAAGATATCCTTAAGCAGTGACTCAGAATGCCATAGCAGAGGCCATAGCACTAATATGGGAATTGACAAGGCATATGGTAGATTTTATGTCAGCACTGTATTGTATGGGGTCAAAGGCAATGGAAACCACTTTAACTTTATAGGGAGGAAAGTTCTTAGATTGGGTTGTTCTTTTGTATATTACAGGCATTCCTGAACTGTTTATCTCACACCACCTCTAAACTCCAGAATTAAAATGTGAATGAAATATTTACTTTTCTGCTTTCTGCCGTCCCTGCTAAAAAGAACAACTATAATACCTTCACCATCATATCCTTCTTTTTTCACTACCAACCAAATAAGCTGTTAGTTTCTGTCTTGACTAAAGAACTAAAAAACATACAACATACCTAGCATAAAATTCACCAAAATTCAATATTCATATGAATATTTCAATGTATAACAATCTCTATATACACACAGTATTTATATATTAAAATATATTTGTTACATATAAAAGCATCATAAATTTTTCACAATTATCAAATTTGAGGTGATTTGAGTTTCCTTATGTGAAATCCTAGGAGATTTCAATTATGAATGTTGGGATCCTATATAAAAGCTAAGAGCACCAAAAGCTTGCAGGATTCTTAATTGTAAAAATTTGGTTGGCTTTTGCTAAAAATAGGGAATTGCCCAGAAATGCTGCTAATCTTTGAATCAACATGTTGTGCTAAGAACCAGCATTCCTAGGGTTTTGAGAACGGATAGATCAATATAGAATACTGTAGGTGTTGTATGAGCTTTTCAAGAGAATGAAAACAACTAATTTGGAAAGACAGGAGGAAGAAGCCTTCAATTTAAACTCTGGAACAGAGTTGTACAGGAAAGAATAAATATATGTTTTACTCTGTATTCTGCAGTTAGACAATTGTATGTGAATGGCTTCATATCTACAATAAAGAGATACAGTAAATCTTGCACAGTCATCTCTGAACAACTTAATACTTAATCTCTTATTCAAGCTAATTCTTGAATAAGATTTTAAATATCTGGAAAGCCAAGATTTATAGGTTTGTCTGGTATGAAGCCCAACAGTTAACTTACAGCAAAAATCTTGCATGGTTAATAAGCATTTTTTCAAGCCTGTGCGTAAGCCAGGTAATACCTGTTTCTCATTTACATTAACAAATCTATCTTCAAGTATTTGTAGCACAAACTAACTCAAAACTTAGCTTTCAACTATAACATGAGTAAATCTCATTAATGTGTTATAGCCTTTAACATAATTTATTATTGGCTATTAACGGCTAAGGAAAGCTTTAAGTAAACTTTTGAACTTGACTAATCAATTGATCTTCCTAAAAGGTTCAGATTAATTTCTGACCATTTGTTTTAGAACTTATCATCTGTAATAAATGTTTGATCTAGGTGATAATAGTTTACAATATTTTGTTTAATAGACATTATTCATTATGGTGTGCATATAAACTCATAAATTAGTCTAAATGATATGTGTACTTGTTTGCATCTTTCCATTAATTGGAATATAAAAAGAAACCTCATACTGAGTCATAGCACTGATTCTTCTAGACCAGGGATAGGCAACCTTGGCTCTTTTATGACTCATGGACTTCAACTCCCAGAATTCCTGAGCCTGAGCCAACCCCTGTTCTAGATCAATATACAGCAGGTTGATCCTAGCTAGATTCCCAATAAATGGGAGTTCTTAAACAAAGAGACATAAAACAGATATGCAAGTAATTCCAATGAGGGTGAAAAAATTAGGAGATGGCAATGGAAGCCAGAAAGGCTAAATAAAACCCTGGGGGAAGATCTGAAAAAAAAAAGATGATCATATCAGAAATGGAAGTAGTACTGGCTCATAAAAGAAGAGTTAGTCCAGCCTGTTGGCTAGTGTCAGGAAAACAAAAACTCAGAATGGTTATCAAAGATTATAAGAATAACAAAAATAGTTTAGTTTCAGACTAAAAGGAAAATAAGAGAATCAATATAGCAGCTGTGCTTTGAGGAAAGTTAAAAAAAAACATAAGAGATTCTCCACTGCTGAAATTGTGTGTTTCCATAAGAAATTGTGAAGAGCAGGATGAAATTGTAGGACTGAGAAACTCATAGAAACTTGTCAGGAAAGTGTTTTTACTTTCAATAAATTTAAATATCTATCATCAGTTAATTATTAGAGTCCCACAGAACTATAGTATCTGGTGGTCTGGTTGAATCCCTTGTGTATTATCTGTCAAAAATGCCAGAAAACTGGTAAGGTGCCACATGAAAGGAGGAGACTAAATGTCTGAATTTTCAAATGCTAAGAAAAGAAAATCCAGGAAACCACAAACTACATAGTCTGACATTTTGGATTATTTTAGAGTTGATCATATCACTCTGGAATTGGAAGTCAGCATTAGTATGTCAGAACAAATCTTGTTAGATTAATTTTACCACAATTTTAGACTGTATAACTTTAATAGATTGTGAGAATAGTGTAGACATAACATACTATAACTTCCGGGGAAAAATTGGTCAATATAATCCATGACATGTTGACTAGCTACCTAGTTCATTAATGACTATGTGCCATGACAAATAATTAGGTGGGTTTTAAAAAAAAAATTTTCCTTTTTATAATCCTTTAGTCCTTATAATAGGTGTATACCTAGCTCAAAAATCATACAGTAGTTTCCATGAAATGGGAGAGAAGTATCAAGTAGGATGCCACAAGAATCAGTATTGGTTATTTTTATTAATAACTTGGATAAAGTTCTTATCTATCTATCTATCTATCTATCTATCTATCTATCTATCTATCTATCTATCTATCTATCTATCTGCCTCATCATTGTGGTGAGATTACTATTGGAATTGTACTCAGAATATACTGCCAACAGCAACACTCCAGATGTGAAAGTCTTCCTAGCTGCACAGCTAAAGCAAACAAGCTTCTACACTGGGCAGAAGAGATATAGGAAGATACTTGTCGGAGAGTAAATGTCCCAGTCGAAAGACTGAATGCTGGCAGTCTGGGGAGATTTCTGTGAAACAGGCATAGAACAATAAAGTAGCTAGTTGAAGTTCACATGTGTGGTTCTGGTTATTCGCACCTGACAATGTGGAAGTGAGTGATCACTTTAGTGACAAAATATTATAATTTCATATTCCGCAGGAGAAGGCAATGGCAAACCACTCTTGCATTTTACCCATATAGATAGAAAATATAAAGCAATTGATGATCTAGTGCCAGATCCTGGGCCTTCCTGGTCAAATGATACTCGACATGCTACCAAGAACTAAAGATATTTCAGAATGCTGAAGGTATTAGTGACATGACTAGATTAAAACTTTCAGGATGTCTACTTGCTGATGTTGCCATACAAGAAAAGAAAAGCTGAAGTTTAAACAAACCTTTATTTATTTATTTATTTATTTATTTTCTAATATTGAATCAAAATCTGTTTCACTGATATTCCACTGTTATTCCACTGATTAATTGTTCTAACTGTCAGGAAATTTCTCCTTAGTTCTAGGAGAGAAGCAACCTAGAACTAAGGAGAAACTTCCTGACAGAACAATTAACCAGTGGAACAACCTGCCTCCAGAAGCTGTGGGAGTTTTTAAGAAGAGATTGGACAGCCATTTGTCTGAAATGGTATAGGGTTTCCTGGCTGAGCAGGGGGTTGGACTAGATGATCTCCAAGGTCCCTTCCAACTTTATTATTGTATTATTGTTATTATTATTTATATGCACCCATCACATATTACAATAGGAACATGGAAAAAGAATATGGGAAAAGCTCAACAAAGTGAAAATTGAAATGAACTAATTGCCTATTGCCATCTTAGGCATCAATAAATTGGAAAAGGCTCAAAGGAACATGTTCAGTTAGAAGGTTCTAGGGGACTGCAGCCAAGAAATTAAAAGACGCTTGCTCCTGGGGAGGAAAGCTATGGCAAATCTAGACAGCATACTAAAAAGCAGAGACATCACCCTGCCAACAAAAGTGCGTATAGTCCAGGCCACGGTTTTCCCAGTTGCAATGTATGGCTGTGAAAGTTGGACCATAAGAAAGGCTGAGCGCCAAAGAATTGAGGCCTTTGCACTATGGTGCTGGAGAAGACTCCTGCGAGTCCCTTGGACTGCAAGGCGTTCAAACCGGTCAGTCCTAGAAGAGATCAACCCCGACTGCTCTTTAGAAGGCCAGATCCTGAAGTTGAAACTCAAGTACTTTGGCCACCTAATGAGAAGGAAGGATTCACTGAAGAAGAGCCTAATGCTGGGAAAGATTGAGGGCAATAGAAGAAGGGGACGACAGAGAATGAGATGGCTGGATGGAGTCACTGAAGCAGTAGGTGTGAAGTTAAATGGACTCCAGAAGATGGTAGAGGACAGGAAGACCTGGAGGAACGTTGTCCATGGGGTCGCGATGGGTTGGACACGACTTCGCAATTAACAACAATTGTTTCTTACCCAGGATATAAAAAATAAAGAAGGAATGATGTTTCATAGTTAGGAAGGATATAATAACAATGCTTGGTTACAATGCAACAAATAATTCAATAGTATTGAGTGTATAGGCTTAGTGAACAACCATTTAATATGACAATTAGCCATGTTTATGCTCCATCCACTGATGCAGAAGAGAAGGTTGGTGAGTTGTATGGTCCAGCTAAATTTTAAATCAATCATATATACAATAAGAATGTACTGCTTTTGGTTGGGGACTG